AAAGGAAGAAATGTTCAATATCTCTGGTCATACAAGAAATGCAAATCAAAACAACATTGAAATTCCACCTCACCCCAGTTAGAATGGCCAACATCAAGAAAACTAACAATAACAGATGTTGGCGGGGATGTGGCCTAAAGGGAATGCTACTACACTGTTAGAGGGAATGTAAGCTTGTTCAACCACTCTGGAAAGCAGTGTGGAGTTTCCTCAAAAGGCTATAAACATAAAGCTTCCCTATAACCCAGCGATTCCATGTCTGGGAATTTATCCAATAAAACACAAACAGGACCACACCACAGCTACCAGCACAACGATGTTCACTGCAGCATTAATTACCATAGCCAAGATATGGAATCAACCCAAATGCAGATGAAACTGTGGTATATATACACAATGGAATTCTATGCTTCCATCAGAAAGAATGATATTGTACCATTTGAGAGGAAATGGAAAGACTTGGGGAAAAAATATATTAAACACACTAAGCCAGACCCAAAGAAACACAGGTTGCATGGTTTCACTTATTTGTTGTAACTAGACTGTGCTTATAATCTACAAGCATAAGCAGACTGGATATTAAAAGACAAATACACTTGGATGTGATAAATTATACAGACTCTAGACATTCACACAATGAGACGAAACGTGGATATTCTAATGAGAGGTTGACGAGGCTCAAGCGCTATGTGAATGTGATCATATAAAATGATGTTTATCGAAATGAATGCCAACAAATAGAAACAAGAGGTTTTTGGGTTATTTGGCTTTTGGTTTTAGTTTTAGTTTTTTCCCCCTCCTTTATCACAGCTTTTGTTTGCTGTACCTTTTGTCTTGTATGTAAGTTTATGTTTTGGGGAGGATAAGGGGGAAACATAGAAATGATGAGACAGTGTCAACAAAGTGTCAACAAAAGCAGTAGGGATACTCTCTAGTCCGTATGTTGAAAATGATCTACATCAATTTTTTTTTGTTTTGGTCAGTCGTGGGGCTTGAACTCGGGGCATGGGCACTATGCGTCAGCTCTTCAGCTCAAGACAAGCGCTCCACCACTTGAGGCTCAGAGCCACTTCCGTTTTTCTGGTGACTAATTGGAGATAAGAGTCTCATGGACTTTCCTTCCGAGCTGGCTTCGAAACGCAATCCTCAGATCTCAGCCTCTCAAGTAGCTAGGATTACAGGCGTGAGCCACCGGCGCTCGGCGATCTGTACAACTTTTGAGAGTGGGGTCTGGAGGGGAAAACTGGGAGAAAAGAAGGGAAGAAGTGGCAGTCAGTTTTCAAAAAAAAAAAAAATGTAGCTGGGCACTGGCTTGAGCTTCACATCCACCATACACTGAATACTTGAAAACCTCCAAGCATATGGAGATGGCAATGGCAGTGATGGGGTCAAATGCTGTCTTCCCCATAGCAAGTCTACTCTATGTAGTCTCTTCCCACGCCATAATTTTCCCTCTTTTGTGTGCCGATCCTGGGGCTTGAACTCAAGGCCTGTGTGCTGTCCCTGAGCTTTTGTACTCAAGGCTAGCGCTCTACCACTTGAGCCACAGCCAGCATCACTTCAGGCCATTTGGCAATTAATTGGACGTAAGAGTCTTACAGATTTTCCTGCCCAGGCTGACTTCAGACTGTGATCCTCAGATCTCAGACACCTAAGTAGCTAAGATAAAAGGTGTGAGCCACCAGCACTCGGCACAGCACTTTTTCTAATAAGCTTTTCCATCACAAAAAGAAAGAAAGGAAAATACCCTGAGCAAGGTGTGATTATTCCTGTTTTACTCAGCAACGTGAAGCTTAGGAGGGATACAGCTCTCATTTTAAGCTAAGGACCCAAATTGGAGGAAAGTGGCGGTGGCGGTAGAGGTGGTAGAAGAGGGGGGCTGGAGTGGACGAGCCCTTTGACCACTAGACTCCACCCCTCAACCTTTGGCTTGATGACTGGATGTAAAAACATTCCTTATTGGCCTTGGGTTGCATGAGTGCAAGAAGCACTGTGACTGGTGGAGTGTGGACCAATGGAAAGGCCGTACAGTGTCCTCGAGGCGGCAATCCTCGCGATATTTGAGGCAGACACTTGCGGCTCCCGTTGTGACGGTAACTGTGAAGACTGCACTACTAGTGGGGTGACCAGGCCAACGGTCTCCCCACAAGCTGGACTTGGGACATGAACTCTCACCGCGAGATGTTTGGTCGGGGACGCGGACGTGGCCCGGAGGGCGGGAAGCGTTCCGGTGTCTATAGGATCGGCCGCAGACCCATCATGGCGTCCGGCCTCACCCGTGAGTCGGGGCTTCCACAGATAACCAGAGGCCTCATCCGTGACCCGGGACCACCACAGGTAGACAGAGGCCTTCCACGCATAGATGGAGGCCTCCCACAGATAGGCCTCCCTGGGCCCCAAGTCTCCGACTACAATTCAGAGTCTGAATTAGAAGTGATATTCTCAGGAGGAGTTGAATTTCAGGGTGGCAGAGATTCTAGCTCCTTCGCAGAAGACAGGGGGGGTGCTAAGTCCCCACTGTTCAATTTCAGTGCCGAGGACACCGGCAAGCAGCACCCTGCCTTCCAGGTGGCCGGAAGCCAACTCAGATTCCCCACGTGGGAAAGGGTCTCAGCTGTCCTGTCTGCCTCTTGGGCAGAAGCAGCCCCACCCCGTAGGGGAAGAGGCACACTAGTTCCCAGGGAGAGAACCACGATGGTCCCTAGCCATGTGGGAGCAGAGCAGGCCTCTGCCACCCTTCCGCAGCCCAGTAGGCCCACGACTCGCAGGGCCTGGAGGGAGAGGGAGAGAGGAAGGGAAGTTAGCAGGATGTTCAGTCAGAAAGACCAGTGGTCCTCCTCTGACACTGATACTTCAGAGGAATTTAGTAGGAGGCCACGGACCAGGCGGTCCCGTAGAATGCATCATAGAAGCCAGGTCTATTCTGATAGCCCCAAAGAATCAGAAAGCACAACCGGAAGTTCTTGTGACGAAAAAGAAGCTATTTTCTATCCTATGCCTGGCGATTTCCTACCCTCTTCGCCCCAGAAAGTAAAGACAGTCAAAGAAAAGCAGAGAGGGCTAGAAGAAACTTCCTGTAGGATAAAACAAAATGTGATCAGGGAATACTCAGGAGCTGCTGCTGTTGTTGTTGCTGCTGCTGCTGCTGCTGCTGCTGCAGGTGACAGGCTCAGGGGCAACCCTACAAAGAAGATGACTATGGAGAAGAAAATTCCAGAGGGTCCTTTAAGAGTTACACTGGGAAGAAACACCCCTTCTTGGAGGCAGATAACGAAGACACCTCCCCCAGAAGCAGTAGCATTACCCCCGATCTTGAGTATTCCTCCATTTGGGGGTTCCAAGGCACCCTCTACTCTGCATCCTGGACCGAAGCGATACAAGCAAGGCAACACTTTGAAGAAATGTGGGGCTTGGAAGAGAAGGAAGTCCTGCCCAGTGGCTAGAGAAGATGATGAGGCAAACAGAGGTCCTGGTCTGCTGGTCCAGGTGAGTAAACCATCTTCCCCCTCCTCTCACTGTGCATTTCCCTCCACCAGTGCACTCATCTTTGCCTATGTTCCCTCTGCTTTTGTTTTTGTTTTTTTTTTTGCCAGTCCTGGGGATTGAACTCAGGGCCTGGGCACTCCCCCTGATCTTCTTTTCCTCAAGGCTACTACCCTACCACTTGAGCCACAGCACCACTTTGGCCCTTTCTGTTTACGTGGTACTGTGGAATCAAGCCCAGGGCTTCATTCATGCTAGGCAAGCACTCTACCACTAAGCCACATTCCCAGCCCTCCCTCTGCTTTTTGTTCAGGGACTGTTACTGGTGGCCCATAGTCATTAGGATGCCCAATCCAGCATCCTTGTATGAAGATATCACGAGAGCACTTAGTAGGTGCCAGTCAGAGTTTGCCAGGCTCTTCATTTTCTGCCTTTCCAGACAGGGGTTGGGGTCGAAGCAGGGCTGGCTGCTCATTTGAGTCTGGAGTCTGCTTACAGTTTGGGCTGTGCAGCTTCAGTATCTCCCATCTGCCTCCCCATTCTTTCCTCCCAACTCTTCTGCAAGCCTTCCTGGAACAAGTCTTGGATTTTTTTCATACTCCATGTACTTCCTTGATCAGCTCTGCCTCCTGGCCTGAGGCTGACAGAGGCAGAAAGTACAATGAAACGAGTCCCTCAGAATTGGATGGAACTGCATGCAGACCACCATATTAAATGACTAAGCTAGACTCAGAAAGACAAATACTCTATGATTCCTTGGATGTGCAGAAGGTACCTATACAGAAAGTACATGGACATGACCACAAATGTGGGATCCTTTGATGCATCTGGTGAGAGATGAGAAAGGAAGAAAAGAGGACAGGAGGATGGGGAGAATGTGATGGAATGCTTTGTGGCCAGAATGACTGTTATAGTGGAAATCATTTAATAATTACAGGACAGGTTTTGAAAAGGTCATGGAAGGAGCAGGGATATGACAGGTATAAGAAAGTACGATTGTAGTACATTAAATTGTAGAAATATCAAATGAGATAATAAAAAGTAAGCAAAAGAAATGGTTTTTTAAAAGAAATGGAAAAAGAAATGAGAATCTCATCTCCCCTCTTTATCCATGCTCATCCCAAATCCTAATGATTCATGTTTAGTGAATCATTTTTCTGTTAGCTTCCAAAATGCAGGCCAGATCTACCTAACTTCTGCAAGCATGAGGGAGAATTCAACAATGTTGAACACCATATTGGAGACTCACATGATGAAATGGATTTGCAGCCCTTTCCACAGATACAGGGGGACATCATGCCCAAAGGCCGTGCAAATTCAGGTGAGCCTTAGGGGTGTGAGAACAGTAGAGTGGATGGCATGTAGAAGAGGAAGAAACAGTCTCGGGCTACCTTCTAGGTTGCCCTCTCTAGGGAGTAATGCTCCCAACAGAACACAGGAAGTGGGCAGGGCCGGCCTCAGGCAACCACATTGTTTTGCAAGTGCAGATTGTACTGAGGAGTGTTTGAACAACAGTGTTCAGACCCCAGAGCAGAAGTAGACTTTCAGCATAACAGTCTTTCCTAGCATCCAAAGAACAGCCAAAGTCCCATGGGTACACAGTGGTAGCTGGAGTGACATTTGGGGACAAGGGAAAGCATGCCCAGATAGGGGTGGGAATTGCTGAGCAGAGCAGTTCCAAGTTTCTGCCCACAGAGAGATATGTGCAGACCGTCCCACGTCACAGGGAAAGTAGAAAGCTAGATTTTTGTGTCTTTTTCAGATGACCAGGAATCACCTATGTATTACCGTGATACAGAAATGCCACAACAATCATCTGGAGAACAAGGCTGTTCCCGGGTAATGCCTTTAGTCCTTATGAATGCTGTTCCCGGCTATATGGTCAGCTTTATGTCTGGGTCAAATTGTTTTACATGCAGTTTCCGATCACACACTCCATGGGGAAAGAAAACATTCTCTCTATTGAAGGTTCTGTGTGGATTATGCCACAGTGCTATGGGACATGGGGAGTCTCTAAAGCATAGGGACGGGTGAGGGGATGATGAGAGGAGGCTAGCACATTAACCCTCATTTCTGTTTCTCTTTTCTTCTGGGCTAGTGTCTGATGGTACACAGTGATATAGAGAAACTCAAGGAACAACTAGGTATGGTGGTTTCTGGGCCAGAGGCAAGGGTGGGAGTAGAAAGACTTGGGTGTTTGGGAGCCAGTAACTGGGGCATACTCATGGCAGCTGCAGGCAGCATTAGAGGGCAAAACATTCCCCTGGGAGGAGAAAGCAGGCAGGCCAACCCTCCAGCCTTCTTTGAATTGACTGCTGAAGCATGCTCAAATGGCAGTGTATTGTCTAAATGTGGCATAGTCTCTGCCAGCCAGTACCAGATATCCCCCCCACCCTCAGAGCTTGAAAGATCTCTCCTTTATTTTCCCTGTAAATGCTAGTTTGTGTGGATTGTCTAGTATGTGTTGTCCTGTTTGTTTTTTTAACAAGTCATGTTTCTGCCATGACCCACTCTTAAGAACTACTCAGTTCAAGTTGCTCCGATGCCAGAGACATTTGCACATTGAATTCAGGTGATGGCTGGTCAATAGCAGAGCTGTTTAACACAAGCTAGAGGGAGTCAATTTGCAGTGTTGTAGGTTCTCTGGTGGAGGGGCAGTGGAGGAGCAGGAGGGATTCCTGCATCCCCATGCCTGGAGTACCCATTGTGCTTTTCTATTTCAGCGGCCATTCAGTCCCTCACTGAGAAGTTCCAGTCCCTTGGAAGTAAGTGTTTGCTTTATGTAATACCTCACAATTCAGATGGCTAATGAAGGCCACGAACTGGTCCTGATTCTGCTCTGCTTGACAGTTTGAATCCAGTATCTTCATACACAACAATCATTCAGTGCTTGGAACCCAGAAAGTGTTGCTCAACGGCTTCAGAACAGTTCTTCTACACCCAGTACCTCTCCTTGGTTCCCTGCCCCCCCTCCTCCCGCCCCTCCTTCGCCTCCCCCCTCCCCCCCTCCCACCGCACCTTGCCCCATCCAGTTGAAGCAGTTTCAAATAAAGTGCATCTAATGTTCTGCGGTCTGCCGTCTTCCTGTCTGGAGTGGAGGTCATGGGAACAGTAAAAGGGTGGGGGTGGACATGTCTCACAGCAGTGAAAGGACAGTACCACTGGCATCCTTATGTAGGCTTTCCTCCTGAGTGATGTCCAGTCCTGCCTCTGAGCAGGAGCCCTGCACTCAGGCTTGCCTTGGTTCCCTCCGTCTGAGATCTGGATTGATTTCTTCTGGCCACATTGACTTACTGCCCTCTGCTATCACTCCTCTTTCCAGGAGCTGATGAACCCCTTCGAGAGCCCCAGGCCCTCCTGCCTTTACTCCTTTGTTTTGCTGTCCTGCTTCTCCCCTCTCACCCTTCTTTTCTGTCCTGAGCAACCTTGATCTTTCCCACAGCCTTCACTGGTAGGCTCTCTCAGAATAATTTCAGCAGATACTAGAGAGTACAAGTATGTTCCAGTTCCCACAACTGGGCCCACTTCTCCCTCTAGAATCACTAGCTCTGGTGACACCATACAAAGAGCTAACCTCAGGAATTTTTCATTGTTCTCAGTTCCTGCTGGGCCTCATCGTGGAAAGCTCCCCATAGCTGATGATTTCCTTTTCCATGTTATTGTTGACCCTGATCATGTCGCATTAAGGTGGCACAGCAGCAGGAATATATGGGAGGAAATGGGGGTACTGAAAAGAGAAGGAAGTGCAGATTTGTCTCTGGTTTGGAGGTGGAGAAGTGAGTCTGTCCGAGCACTACTGGCATAACTGGGGTGAAATTGGCCCATGGTCACTCAAGAGTTTGACACTAAACAGTAGAATTTGTGGTTGTCATTCACCATGAGGATTTCCTACTGTGGGAGGGACTTCACAGATGCCAGAGAGAGGCCAGTCCAGTACTGGACCTCTGTACAGTGTGGGAAACCTGACCTGACTCATTGTTGACTGGCTTGCGGGCTCACAAACACTTTGACACTAGCTGGAGTCCCAGGAGGAGGTCACGTTATCTGTCAACACAGTGAAAGGTCATGTTAGAGCCAGGTGTCAGTGGCTCACACTACACAGGAGGCTGAGATCTGCGGATTGCTGTTCAAAGCCAGCCTGGACAGAAAAGTCTGTGAGACTCTCATCTCCAATTAGCTACCAAAAAGCCAGAGGTGGAGCTGTGGCTCAACTGGTAGAATGCTAGCTTTGGGCAGAAAAAAACCCAAGGACAGAGCCCAGGAACTGAGGTCAAGCCCAAGAACCGGCCCATATAAAATAGGCCTTGTTGAGAAATGAAGCCCAGGAAGCTCTGGCACCTTGTCCAAGTGGAGCTTTAATGGGTTCTCAACAATGGTCCTGTACATGGTCCAGTAGAAATTAATCAGACACTATTCTGAGCTAAGTACCTGGAGGCAGGACAAGAAATGGATACTTCCAGGCCAGTCCCACTTCTAACTGGGAGAGGATGCTTGAGGCAAAGAGGGCACATGGAAAGAGGGGGGAGGGGCCCAGCATTCTTTCTAGTGGCAAAAAGCCAGATGTGGAGCTGCAACACAAGTGGGAGAGATCACCAGCCTTGAGCAAGAAAAAAGCTAAGGTATGGCTCCCAGGTCCTGATTTCCAGCCCCACTACCAGCATAAAAATAAAGAAGATAAGCAGAGTTCCCACTAGATGGGAGATGTCATAAGGCTGGGCACCTGGAGTGTGTGGTGGAGGGGTTACTAAGAAGTCTCCAGGAGAGAGCTACTTGGCTGTCAAGATCATTGCACAGCCTTCAGGACATGTCTATACCAAGTCAGAGGCTCCACATAATCTGCATGAGCTCTTTCTGTGGCTAGACGCCCACTCGAGTGCACACCTTTGGGACCCACTCAGTCTGTTGTCCATGGTCAGACCATCCAGATGCAATTATCATGATGTGATGCCTAGGGGCCTGTGTGGAGAACTGCTCAGGCCACAGTGAGGGCTGCAGGCCTTTGCCCTGATTGTCTCGCCAGCCGGGCTCCTTTCCTACTCTCACAAAGAGCCCTGCCAACCTCACTCTGCACTCATGTGAGCTGAGTTGTATCGTAGGAGGCAGGACATGACCTGGGGCTCAGTAGGGAAGTCTCGCTTGTGGCTGGGAGAGGACATGATGGAAAGGGGTCTAGACACAGAAAGAAGTGAGAGTTCCCACATCCTTCTGTCTCATGGGGTCCGGATGGGCTTCTCTCGCCTGAGACTCTGATTCTGACCCTTACTCCTGTCCAGAACAAAGGCTCAGCTCTGACTACTGCCTGTGGTGAGCACCCTACAGTAACTTGAGAGTAGTCTGAATACGGTGCAAGGAGACCATGTCTTTGGAGAGAGATGGCAGGGCTGACAAAGCTAGTTCCCAAGGATTCTACACCATCCTTGTCACCAGTTGGTAATTGCCCCATGCCTTCCAAAGTAGGGCCCAGTCTGGAGCATAGCCTACTTGCAACTAGCCCAGAAGTCTGGTGGCAGAGCCTCGGTGCCAGAGTCTGTGTCAAACGACTTCACTCAGACATCAATCTTCTGTGTAACCTTTTGAGGACTTAACCACCTGGAGAGAGGTCAGTCATAGCTTACATGATCAGGCCCACCTTTCAGGTAGAGGATTAAAGTGAATGGCTAATCTATTCTGGCTCTGAAGTGATGATTTGTCCTACCCAATGTTCAGGGTGTGACTTTCTGAGACACGGGGACCAGAAGGGACACAGAGTGAATAGATAGGCAGGGTGGTACGGAGCCTGACCCATGCTGCAGGGCCCATCCTACCTGTTACCCTTTCCCTCTGGGTATGGTGGTCTCCCAGGGAACATTCACTACAAACAATGGGGGAAACAGCTGCTCTGAGGAAGCCAGCCTGCACATCATCATGCATCCACCAGGAGGACTTAAACATCCCATTCAACCAAATACTCCCTAATGCCAACATTTTGAAGTCCCGGAATCTATCAGTATGTTTAGTGACTTCGACTTCCTTCTGCCCATGCTCTCCTGTTCTAGAGCTTGAAAATACTATCTAGTATCAAGTGCTGATGGTATATGCCTTCTAATCCTAGATCTTCAGGAGATCTTAGTAAAGTAGTTCAATGCCAGCGTTGGCAAGAAAGTCGAAGATACATACTCCTATCTCCAATAACCATAAAAAATCCAGCCTTGAGTAAAAGAGCTAATTGACAGCGCCCCAGCCCTGAGTGCAAGCCCCAGAGCTGGCAAAAGAAAAAAGAAAGAACGGGGGTGTGGGATAGAAAGAGAGAGAGAGAGAGAGAGAGAGAGAGAGAGGAGGGCAGAGGAAGAAGAGGAGGAGGAGGAGGAGGAGGAGGAGGAGGAGGAGGAGGAGGAGGAGGAGGAGGAGGAGGAGGAGGAGGAGGAAAGAGAAAATGCCTTTGGTGAAAGGTAAATTCTAATTGTCCATTTCATCCCTTATAGATAGGAGTCCCTGTCTCTATTGCTTTTCCTCCTAAATCAGCCCTTTCTTTCTCAGCATAGAAGACTTTTATTCATGAGAACATATAGTCAGATCACCTAAAATGCTCTGGCTTCCATTTTGTCCTCTGTAATTAAACACTTAGCCTCTTCGGAAAGGAAGCTGGCATAACTCTCACTTGCCTCCTCCCTCTCAGATCTCCTCCTTCAAATACAAATTTCTTTTATTCTCCAGCCTCTTTATAGAATGGGCTAGTGCTGAAAGAAGATATCTCAATTGTCTGGTGGTCAAGGTGATGCCAAGTCATGGAGTTCAATTAAAAAAAATTCTGTGAGCCCAGCACAGCAGCTTACACCTGTATTCCTAGCTATTCAGGAGGCTGAGATCTGAGGATCCCGGTTCAAAGCCATCCCAGGCAGAAGTCCATGAGACTCTTATCTCTAATAAACTACTCTGAAAAAGCCATAATTGATGCTGTGGCTCAAGTGGTAGAGCACTATCCTTGAGCACAAAAAGGCTCAGGGACAGCACCCAAGCCCCAAGTTGAAACCCCAGGACCAGCAAAAAGAAAAAGAAAAACAAAACGTCCTGTGACCTCAGGAGACAGTTTACAAAATTTGAGGTAGGACACATAATATGTCCCCAAAGAAGTTTGCCATTAGTGTGATTTAGTACACAGCTAGAACCATTCATGTATGCATAAATATCATTAGAAGCTGACTTGCACTTTTCAACTTGGGGCTATGGAGTTGATTGGCTGCAGAAGGGCTAGTTTACTGGCCAGGACTTGTAGGATGTGGCAGTACTGTTTCATGGCCACCTATTCTGGCTGCTGGATGACAATTCCATCCAAGCTGGCCCAGTGATGTTAGGACAGGCTCATTTCTCCACTTACAACACAGAGACAAATATCCACTTTTCTATGTTCCAGGTACCCCCATTTTCCCTTATATTTTCCATGAATTTCCTTTGGCAATAGGATGTGATCAGGGTCTCCAATGATATGGAAGAAATCACCAGATATGGGAATTGAGTTTCTAAGATGAGAACTAAAAAGTGAGAACAATGCACAATTTTTTAACAATATAGTCTCTTCAAGTTAGTGAGTTCAGAGGGAGGACTAAGCCTCCAAAAAGTGGTCAACTGACTTGGGGGTGGGAACAGGGGGAAAATGGTGAGAAAGTAAGGGTAGGGGTGACATTGTCCAAAAGGAAATGTACTCATGCCTTGGAGCTGGTGGCTCATGCCTGTGATCTTAGCTGCTCAGGAGACTGAGATCTGAGAATCAGTTCAAAGCCAGCTCAGGAAGGAAAGTCCATGAGATTCTTATCTCCAATTAACCACCTAAAAACCAGAAGTGAAGCTATGGCTCAACGTGATAGAGCACTAACTATCCCTGAGGGAAAAAGATCAGGGACAGCACCTAAGCCTTGAGTTCAAGCCCCATGACCAACAAAGAAGAGGGAAAGGAACTTATGTAACTGTAACTCCTCTGCACATCATCTTTGTGATA